GTCAATGAGAAAATAAAGTTGATTAGTTTTCTTTATAAGATAATCAAACATAAACGGAGCCCTGCGACATTGCAATCGAAGACACTCATTTTAAAACATAGCCACCAATATCAAACGTCGCGAAGTGCGCATCCAGAGGGAAGAGTTCCTTCATTATCTCAGATACCACCTGGCGCAATACAGGTGCTGGTTAGTAGTTGTATCCAAATGTACCAGCGAGTTGGTGAACATTAAGAACGCCACAGCGTTGAGATTAAGGGCAATCAAAGAAGATACTGATGAGAAATCATTTTAATTTTGATCCACTCACTCATAAAAAATATTCATGAGATGCAAATAGTTTTGACCTTACGGACCGATGACTTTACAATGCTTTCAATCTTGCAGTTTTGAATGAAACAAAACTTGTAAATTGGGCTACATTTTGCAATTTGGAACTATAAATTCTAGCCCGGTTTAAAAACAACGTATGTGCCATTAATTTCCCTATGCACATAAGTGTTTTTCCAAAAGAGCCAGAAATTATAGTTCCAAATTGCAAAATGCAGTCCAATTAATCCTCTCTTCAGGGCCGGATTTAGGGGATGGCCACATAGACCGCGGCCCGTGGCGGCAAATTTAGGGGACGGCAAATTGTGCAATTTTTTTAAATGTAGGTATAAAAAAAAATTGGAAAAAGAAAAAAAATTACAAACGAGAAAAGGCGACAAAATCTCTCATTTCCAGAGAGTTTTAAGAGAGTAGTAAGTTCTAATTTTGTCGTCTTTCGGTGATACAAAAGAAAGCACCTTATTTAATTAGTCGAGTTAAGAGAGAAACTAAACACGCAGTTTGACCTGAAACGGCGCCGCGCAGAGAGCAATGATGACGAGGACTTGAGATGAAAAGGAGAGGCCCTCGGCGCGGCGATTGGCATGACACATATTAGCGCCTACAAGACTGCATGAATACTTCACGCATTGCGTCAAACACAGTACGATCGGCAGCGGTCGGCGAGAAACGCATGACGCCTACAAGACTGCGTGAATACTTCACGCATTGCGTCAAACACAGTGCGGTCGGCGCGGTGCAGCGCGGCGGCAGAAGTTAAAATTATTAAACCACATTTATGTTTCTTCTTTCATAATTTGTTTTGTTCATTTCTTATAAATGGAAGGCCTTGTCCACGTAGAGATAGGTTTACGGGACTTTCGCGCAAAGTTCCGTGAACTTTTGTTCGCAGTGTTGGTAGGGCTTTAGCAAAAAAAAACCAACACGAGTAAACGCGTCTTGTGCACCCCTCTCCTCCGGCGCGTTCACTTGATGGTTTTTATCGATGTTTTAAAACGAATGAGAAGGGGGCGGCAAAATGCAGGCGGAAAGTAGGTAAATCCAGCTCTGCCTCCCTCAATTTAGGGAGACTGAGCTGCATGTGACTGAATTTAAAGGAGAATAATGATAGATTTTTGTGAGGATTTATAGCGATTGCCTAAGGATTGATGCGAGTACATCTTTCTCTACGTCACAGTGATCGATGCTCAAAGTGAAATTTGAGGGAAAAGAGTGATGGAAGTTAGGAGCAGTGCACAAAGGTGCGTGATCTGTGGTCGTCACTCAAAATAATTACTCCTCAGCATGGTTGAGCCCAACTACACCAGGGAGTAAAAGCAAGTTGCGAAATATGTAAGTAACGAAACAACCAAAACGAGAAACTCGTTCAAACACTCATAACCATGGTTCTTATTTGTAAGTGATTAATTTAGTTCCACTTTCAAGGTCAGGATAATTTAAGAGAACATTCACTGTTATGTTATAATCCGCCGGTAAACTGTATTGCTTGTGAGAGAGAAAATAAGAGTATATAATGAGATTTATTAGAGGGATGAATCTTCAAATGAGGGGCTTGAAAGACAAGGCGCGCAAGTGCAGTTCTTTAATTAATTCAGATATCGACGGTGAAATTCCCAAACCACGTATCTCGGTTTGCAACGTTGCAGACTTACTGTTATACTTTATTTTTTGAAAGAAAAACCACTCAACGTACATTCCCTAAAATATCTGTGATTTTTCTGCTCTGTGCGAAGAAAATTCTGTGAAAACTACACCGAAAGATGTTGATTCGCTTCCAGAAAAAAATTAATAATAGGAGCGGAAATTTTTAAACACCGCAAACGAGATACGTGGTTTGGGAGTTTCACCGTCGATATCCATTAACTCAACTTTAAACGGTTTGAAAGTATATTCTGTGAAAAGTGCGCTCCCAAATTTCCTTCCACCTTACGGCTCCATGTAATTTTCGACTTTAAACATGTATTTCTTGAAATAGCAAAAACTGCACTTATGCGCCTTGTCCTCCAAGCCCCTCACTTTAGGGTGAGAAGACAACTATGTTATCAATAATTGTGACGAACTATTCTGTCCTTAAAACGATCATTTTTCTTGCATTCTGATAAAAGTCGCTTCCTTTCGGTACACGAAATCTGGACGGCATTGACTATTTTAATTTTAACTAAAATACTTGGAGGTGTTAACGTGAGTCAAGAAGTGAGCGTGAGACAATGCATTTTCCAGGCCCGTCAAGATGATCACAAGTAGCATCCACTCGCTTAGAGTGCCTTTCTCGCCTTTCTTTTACTTATTTATTTAATTTTGGAAATCTTTTTTCTTCCTTTTTTTGTAACGAACTATATCGATGGCGAAACTACCAGACCACGTATCTCGTTTGCGGCGTCTAAAAACCTTCTTTCCCGTTTTATTTTTTTGGAGGAGAACAAATTGATAACATTTTTTGAGGTTTTCACAGAATTTACTTCGCGCAGAGAAGAAAAATCGCGGAAGTGTTCAATGATTGACGTTGAGTAATTTTGAATTTAAAAAAGAAAATATAACAGGAAGTCAGTAACGTCGCAAAGTGAGATACGTTGGCAGTTTCACCATAGATATGCCCACCATATACCAAAGGTTTATAACCACCATACACGTCAAAGATTCCAGCACTGAATTCGAAAACAAGAGTCGTAATGCTATTCATTGTGGTATTTAGAAGATTAGCCCTGCGCCCATCGTACTTTTCTATCCTTTTTCCAATTAATGACCATGGAGAGTTGAGGGGATATCGACGGCGCAAGTCTGCAACCACATATCTCGTTTGCGGTATTTGAAAATCTCCTCCTATTTACTACTTTTTTAAAGGAGAACAAATTGACAAAATTCCTGCAAGTTTTTGCCGAATTTTTTCCGCACAGAGAAGAAAAATTACGGCAGTTTTAAATAATTGCCGATGAGAAGTTTTCCGTTTGAAAATAAAGTAGGTATGACAGGAAGTCTGCGACGTCGCAAAGCGAGATACTTGGTTGCGGACTTACACCGTCTATATGTTGTTTTCATTGAGTAATTTAGTCTGGAAACGGCCTTGAAGTTTTTGTGCGTTACTTATCTTATGATGAGTTTGCTCATTAAACGACGAGTGGACGCGAGCATACCTATATTTAAAGGCTAGAGATGAGTAGGGCGGAAGAGAGGATGAGAATTACATCTCCGTGACCGCGATGATTGATGGAGAGACGACCGGACGCTGAGAAAGGCAGCTCGCCGGGCTCATGCCACAAGAGAAGGGCTGTTGGGTTGAGCGCGGGGCG